GCTGCAGAACCCAAGTGCGCTTCAGCTTGAGGTCACGAACAGATGGCCGGACAAAAATCCTTCAGGATTTTTTGGTAGACAGCAGAATTCATGGTTCCATTTACCACGGCAAGTCTTCCAGCTCCTGAAGCAGTAAAACAGTCCCAGACCATCACACTACCACCACCATATTTTACTGTTAGTATGATGTTCCTTTTCCGAAATGCTGTGTTACTTCTACGCCAGATGTAATGGGACATACACCTTCCAAAAAGTTCAACTTTTGTCTTGTCAGTCCACAGAGTATTTCTCCCAAAAGTCTTGGGGATCATCAAGATGTTTTCTGGCAAAACTGAAACGAGCCTTTATGTTCTTTTTGCTCAGCCGTGGTTTTCGTCTTGGAACTCTGCCATGCAGGCCATTTTTGCCCAGGGGCGGGCGCCTGTAGGTTTGGATTTCTTTTTCCCTTAATAATAAAGACCTTCATTTATAAACTGCATTTTGTGTTTACTTGTGTTATCTTTGTCTAATATTTAAATTTGTTTGGTGATCTGAAACATTTAAGTGTGACAAACATGCAAAAGAATAAGAAATCAAGAAGGGACACTTTTTCACACCACTGTGTATATATATATATATATATTCATAAATATACGTTCTAACATCTCTAAAAGTTACATTATAGAAAGTTATAAAGTTATTACACAAAATGGGTACAAATACACTGCCTGATGTCAGAGATGTTTTAGGATAGTTTTGAGATAAGGTTTTGGCCTAAAACATATTTTTAAACTTCATTCATGTTGAAGAGGTTTATGCAGGGTGATATAAGGCAAAATAGTTTTTTGTTTGTTTGTTAGGTTTTTTTTCTACTTTACCATTGCCATATTTGTGATGTGAACATTGTGACCTCTGGTTCTTTTCATCACCACTGTAAAAAATCCAAGTCAGTAAGTTTCTCTACAAGGCATTATTTCACTTCAAACCATTCAGAATGATTTTGTTTACGTATCAGCGTTTGAATTATGCAGAAGTTTTGGAAAACTGGTGAAATTCTCCTTTACGTACTGGCAATAAACACAAATATGCTCAGTGCATATCAGAATATTGTGATGTAATATATTGCGATAACATATAGTCATATTGAGCCTCCTTACTTAGAATAAGTGTTTGTGTATATCGTCCCTGAAATTACACACAATAAACTAAACTAAAACTCCTGTAATGGACCGAGTGACTAAGCCAGGATGGGATGAATCTAGAATAAAGATACTTGCTTCAGCTACATCAAAACAAGTCTTACAAAGCGTTTTTTAAAAAGCGTTTTTTTAAGGGTTCTTTAGCAAAGGCAATGGTCATATAGAGAACTGTGAAAACTCAAACCAATGAATAGCAGAAATCGTTCTTTGCATGGTGAAGCAATTGGAAAACCTGTTGTATATGAACTTTTAAAAATGGTTCTGCTATTGTTACAAGCTACTGAACCTTTTTTGGTATTGTACAGAACTCTATTTGATAAGAGTGTAGGCTGCACTCAAAGCCACATACTACTACTATTACATTACTAGTACATACTACATATACAGTACTAATGAATGTAGTACTAACAATGGTAGACCACTTTGACTCATGGTTTTAAATATGGACACAGCCTCTCTCTTTGTTTCAGAAACCAGATGATTTCACAGCCAGCTCTCAGACAGACACAGGAGGAACTAGATCTGGATAAAAACACTGTAGCAGCCAATCAGAGGAAAAGCAAATGAAGCTTAGACTAACATGCCAGGCAGGTCTACGCCTCTAAACCAATCTGCAACCTGCTCGTTCTTTGAATACATTATTCGGGACGTTTTATCTAACGGCGTGGCTGTCGGTGCTTTGTTTCTCCAGCTTGGACGGGCTGTTGTCTCCGGCGCCCCATAAATAACGCTGATAGACTCTATTGGAATATGACTTTGCACCCACCGTCCAATTGATTTAAGGTGACCTCTGCTTTCTCAACGCTATTGAAGGCCTATTTAACCAGATGAAGGCTCAGATTGTCCCGCGCGCCTGCGCATTAATTTCCCATTCATCATCATTAGGAAGCGAGCGGTCCGTTCACGCCTCGCGCGGCCCGCCGTAAATTAGAACGTAAACAGGCTTTTAAACGGCGCTTACCGGACAGCTGCACGGTACCGCCCCAGCGCCCGCCTCGCCGGCAGTCCAAAGAGAGGCTCATTTTCTCTGTGAAGCTCAGTCCAGAGCTGATGACACTTTTTTAATGGCGCCTAACAGTTGTCAGAGGCTTAACCACTCTTGTGTGGCGTTGTTGTTAGTGTAGTTAAACCGTTATGGGCAGACTGTGGTCTTTGGCCAGTTGCTTACTGAATGTAAATGTGTGGCGGTCCATGAGTGGCTGACACAACACTTGGTGTAATTCTCCATCCCTCACGTAGGTCTACAGACCACTCTGTTATCATGTTTTCGAGATCTCATTTTGTTGTAACATATAATTCTATAATAATATTTCGATTTTGAAAACTATACTTTAAGACGACAGATCAGCCAGTGAAGCGGTTGTATCGACTGCGTCTTTTTAATCAAGCCCACGGTATTTATCATACTCCTTCCTCGTTTTTATTATTCATTGTAATTTTTTATTTTTACTCTCTGGCTATTTTCCTCCCCTGCCCGTCGCTGTAATCCGGCTAAACGTAATAGAGCATAAATCTGCTTCCCACTTTCAGCTCCAGCCCGTCCGCTTAAATGGCGCATTATTCCAAACATATGCATTTTAATCAGCTCGGTCACACTTACAAGCAGCGCGCTTAATAAGAGCATCAATCACGGCCGGGGCTCGCGGGGGTCACGTGCTCAAATGCGAGCGAGGACTTCATTTGCTGACGGCCGTTCAGAAACTAGGAGAAGCGCCAATTAACGGAGGCAAAGACAAAACACAGGTGCCCCAGTACAGGCGTGATTAAAATGGAGATGCACACAGGAGCTTTAATGCAGGAGAACAGCACCATGAGCTTTTTATACGCACATCAAATCGAATTTTTGACCAAACGTTTACCCAATGTACACTGTCCTGTTACTGCCTTGGTTGTTTATTGTGTTACTGTCTTGGTTATTGATTGTGTTACTGTCTGAGGTATATATTGTGTTACTGTCTTGGTAATTTATTGTAATACTGTCTTGGATATTGATTGTGTTACTTTCTTGGTTATTTGTTGTGTTACTGTCTGTGATGTTCATTGTGATATTATGATATATTTTTTTCAGTTAATCTCTGAAGGCTGATGTCCAGCGGTATGTCTCAATCTACCCCCCGCTGTATCTAATTTTGTCTGTTAAAGCTTTACATGGTGAACGCCTTCCCGCGGATGCAGCGCGGTCCGGCCGGGCTTCGATCTGCCGCGCGCCCCTCAATTACTCCAAATGCAGCCAATTAACGCGCGCGCCGGAATCATCGATCTCTCGCAGTTCCAGCGCGTCCGCGAGACGCGTCTCATTCCGCCCTCTCTATTACCATGAGAAAATACAGCGCCGTTAAAGGCGAGCGGGGAATACTTAAGAGCAAAAAACAAAAAACAAAACCACTACGAGATTAGAGAGCGCGAGAGATTCAGGTTAGTCTCGCAATCAGCGCTGGTATTAAAGGAAGTTTAGAAAAACGTTGAGACTGCGTCAGATCCGATTATTAATTATGAGTGAATTTACAGGAACATTAGTGTTCAAGTATGAACATGAAATTCTTTAGTGTAGGAAGTTCACGACTTCTATGTTGTTTTTTTTTTTCATCCTGTCTTGTCTTCATTTTCATGTACGAATTACCAATTCACCTGCACAGGTACATTTACAGTGATGAATTAACACTGATCGTTTTCTTTGTGTTCGGCTGGATTGATTCAGCTCTGGAGATGATGATGCTGTGTGTAACACCTATTTGGCGTTAAATAAATGTTAAATATGTGATGAAATCAAATAACGTATTTATTTTCTTCTTAAAATGTCGTTTAAATAATTCGGTAATTATTCAGTAAAATACACATATGTATAAGAGGCGTTTAAATGTCTTGATCTTATCAGCCAGTATTTTAGACTAGTTCCAATCAGTAAGTGTTTTAAATCAGTAGGCTAATTTTCATGCCTTTGAATGAATTTCAACACATTCAGCATTTTTCGTTTAAAATACACTTTTATTATGAAATTCAATGCACTCAGAACATTACACCAAGATATTTCCCAAAGCTAATCTCTGCCTGCTCATCTGGCTATAACTACAATTTCCCCCACAAATAAGAACATATATATTTTGATATAAAGCGAGCAAAGGCTGAGGCTGAATGGGGAAATAAAAATAAAACAATAAAAAATAAAAAACAGAAAGATGCTAGCAGGAAAAAACAGACATGTTCAGTACATAAGGCTGCTTTTCTCTGCCAGTGCTATTTTCCGCGAACGTTTGTTTCTCTCGTGCGTTTGGAGCCTTTCTCTCTGAGAAAGACAGAGGATGAAAGAGAGAGAGAGAGAGAGAGAGAGAGAGAGAGAGAGAGAGAGAGAAGGTGCAGGATGGAGGTGGAAGTGTTCACTAGACAAGGAGAGGAAAGAACGGGAGAGGAGACGGGCAGCTCCCAGTCTGGTGCACGTGACCGACCCACGGATCTCTCGTGCGTCTCGTGCCCGTCAAGCCTCTCGCGCTGCTTCTTTAATCCGCTCCCTGGGCGCCTCGTTACCGGCCTGCCTGACCAAGCCGAGCATTAGCATTAATTCTGAATTCAAGAGGAAGAATTCTCTCTTCCGAACACATCACTCCTTAATTTCCCTCGCACGTGCATATCCCGGCCCCGCTGTACCGGGACCGCGCGCTGGCGGCGGTGGAAGCCTAATGAGCTACTCGTACCCGGTTAACAAATCCCCCTGTTAGAAGAAAAAAAACATAATTTTGTTGGACCAAAGGAAAACGTATGTGGGTCAATTTGGACGTGTGAGTGTGTGAGTGTGTGAGTGTGTGTGTGTGTGGGGCGGGAGATAAATTATGATAAAGGTTTATCCTTCACTCATTCCAGTGTTCGGCAGCATGTTCAATCCCTCATCTACTGGACCTTATTTGCATTAGACCTACACTATTTGCCCATACGTACACAGGCACCCTGAATCAGCCATTTTAAGGAGCACCCATTGCTTATAGAGCACTGCAAATTTACACTCGGGAGCAGCCAACCATAAGCCTAAGGTCGCTATGCCCAATGCCAGGCGTCTGCTAGAGGGGTAAAAAGCCCCCCAGCACTGGCCTGTGGAGCAGTGGAACTGCGTTCTCTCGAGTGATGGAGCTCCACTCAATACGTTTTCAATGAGTTAGAGTAGTCCAGGACTAATCATCCAACAACTGACCTCACTAATGTTCTTGTGGCTGAATGCAATCAAATCCTCACAGCAATGTTCCAACATCAAGCTTCCCAGAAGAGTAAAGGCTGTTATCGCAGTAAAGGGGAATAAACTCCCTTTTAATTGTTGCAATGAAATGCTGGATGAGAGGGTGTCTACAAACTTTTGGACATAGTAGTGTGGCGTTTTTTTCTAATACGTTTCTGCGTATCTACTCTATGACGTTGCTGTTTGTCTTGTCGTTGTTACAGTTCGCTCCTGTGCGAAGTCTGGCTGGTGGGGGGAGGGGGGAACAGGGCATTTTTGCATAGCAGGCCGCTGGCGGAGAGTTCGGGTCGTGTTTCATGCGGGTTGCCTGTTCGCGTCGTCCGTAGGATGACCAAGTCCGCGTAGCTCTCGGCTTTTTATCTGGTCAGCTGCACCTCCTCCCTCTGGTCCAGCCCAACAGAAGTGGGCTTGCTGAGCACGGCCGGCGTAAAGGTGAGGAAGCCCTCGGCTCTGGAGAAGTCCGCGCTCGCTGACCTGGGCTGCGGCGGGGGTGGAGGTGGCGGAGGAGGCGGAGCTCCGCTCGTTTGGCACGCGAGGCACGAGCACGGACTGCCGCCGGGGCCCAGCGGGTGCGTCGCGCCCGCGTACAGCGATGGGTGCCGGAAGGCGCACAGCAGCTCGGGTCGCGGGTACGGGTGGTGCGAAGAGAGCACGCGCAGGCCGTCCAGCGAGCGCGCTGCTGCGTGCCCCGCGATTAACGGAGCGCCTCCTGCCGACGGCGCGCCGCCCAGCGGCGGGTAGTAAGGCAGGGGCAGGTGCGACGGGAATGGATACGGGAGGCCGCCCGCCGTGGCCGCCGCGTGGCTCAGCATGTACGTGTAGAAGGCGGGGTCGGCCGGGTGAGGCCACGTCATGGCCAGCCGCTGCCGCTTATCCTTCATGCGCCGGTTCTGGAACCAAACCTGGAATTAAAAATACGTACATTTTAAAAAGACTTAAACAGCATTTAGTTTATAATGCATGTATTCGGAGTGTTTGAATTCTGAGGGAAAAAATTGGATGCATTTCTAAAAATCGAGGGTTCCACCTTTGACCTCCTAAAGAACCTTCAATTGAGTAGTTGAGCTGTTTAAGGAATCATCAGTTGAAGGTTCTTTAGGTACCCAAAAATGATTCTTCTATAGAATCGCTCCAAAGACCTTTTTATAAAGGTATATATGTGGTCTAGCCAAGCTATGTGCTAAACGTGTTCATAAAAAGTCATTATTAGAGCACAGGTGTAACTAGATAATTATTACGATGTTATATAATATTATTATTCGAATGTTCATATTATGCTCAATCGCAGGCTTTGCTTTATGGACACTGTATAAAATACATATTCTCCCTTGCTTAAAGTTATTATACCTATTCTCTCTACTCTGAATTAAAGGCTTTTGCTGTACCTTGATGGTCGTTTCTGGCAGATTTAAAGCGGCCGCCAGTTCACACCGGCGCGGCCGGGACACGTAGTTTTCCCGGTAAAACTCCTTTTCTAGTCTGGCGATCTGCTCCCTCGTAAAGGCGGTCCGGTATCGCCGCATCTGGTCAGGCCCGTAGGAGAGGGCACTGGGGCTCGAGCTCAGCTTCCCGCTGTCCGCGCCTGTCTCCTTCCCGAGGCCCTGAGACTCCTTATCACATCCTGGAGGAATGAATCACACACAGCTTCAGGCCCTCTGACAGCGTGACAGCTGCACTGTATACACTCAGGCTACATGTCATGTTTGGTTTTTGTTGAAGTGTAAATGAGATCTTTCATTAAGACAGCAAAGAATTAATGATAGGAGATGAATACATTCAACTACATTGTCAGCATCGATCGTCGATCTGATTAGCAAATAAACAAACCTTTTCGTTATATTATTTAATTTCTTGTGGTAAATCATTAATAATATTATTATTATCTTTGAGACAATATAACCGGATAGCAGCATACAGACATGTAAATGGCAAATGAATGAAGAAAATAAATAAATAAATAAATAACAATCTTTTACTATCTCATCTATAATTTTCTGTACTTTCGATAATAATGACAGCCCAATTACAACCCCACATAATTCCTACACAGTCTACTAAGAGATAAACAACATTTCTTTGATCTTCATTCAGTATGTTGGTATTAATACTGTTCGTCTAGCAGATTTTCTTGCTTTAGCTGCGGAACTCCGACACTGACAGCAGGGTCACTGTGGGCCACTGTATTCCCACTCACACTCTATGTTTAAGTGCCATTGTGGGCTGAATTGTCCTTTAAGTTTACAAGAACAAACTTGTCGTCTAAATTTAAGAGAATTAAATGTTTGTAACTGCTGTTTGCAAAACAACATCTAGCTTAAAGCTGATGTGACGGAGCTACACTCCACACAAACACACACTGTGGTCTGCTAAACGGACTCATTAACTCGAAACGCAGCAGTCGAACTCCCTGTCAGCAGCACACACCGCGTGTGGCACTGCTTGTTGTTTAGTCATGTTTCTTAACCGCGCCGTTCACTCTCCCGAAACAATGCTTTGCAGTGCTATGCGTAGTTCGCCGTGTCAGGCTCGGTCTTTACCTTGTCCAGCGGGGTAGTCCATGCTCTCTGGGGTGCAGCTGACATCTATCTCCTCGTAGAAGTCGGACTCCGCGTCCGAGCCGCTGCCTTCTTTGTTGGGCAGGTCGGAGAGCTCTCTGTCCGGCACACACGGCTTGCCGGCCCCCCTCGTATCCCCGCACGTGCTGCTCCGCGAGTGAGGAAACGTGCCTGGGCTTCGGCAGTCCCGGCGAGCCAGCTTGTCCCGATGCTCGCCAGCGGAGTCGGACACATCGGAGTCCTTGGCCGCTGCCGGCGCGTCCTTCCTGCTCTCCATGACGGATGCGCGCGGTGTGCGCGGGGCGCCGGGTGGCGTGCAGCTAGCGGGGAGGGGGCGGGGGCCGCTGGCGGAGGGGGACGCGCACGGAGAGGCGGTCGTGTTGTGGAGAGTGCGCCGCTCGCTCTGGGACGAAACTCCGTGGCCCCCTCTGTGCTCACGAGCCGTCAGTCTTAATAGGGCGGGCGTCATAATGGAGGGCTCGGTGACGCCACGCGGCGACTCGAAAGGAATAAACAGGCGAGCGTGAAAGAGATGGGGTGAATCAAAGGCTACGCCAAAAAAAAACTACGTATAATAGCACACGAGCGTATGACACCTCTAGAGACTCTAGAGAAATGAGAAGGCTGAGGAAGCCAACATACAGCACTAATCAAAAGCACCACTGTTAGTTGGCCAATTACAAGACATTTTTACAGAAAACGCTCACATATTAATTAAAAAACACTTGATATTTGCCTATATTTACATAGTGCTGCTCATTCGCCCTGCCACTGTTCTCCACGGAGAGAATTCATAGCAAGACATTCATCACAACACTGTCTTTGAAGGTACACTGTCAGAAAAAAGATATTTTGCAGGTACACTTTTCATTCATCAGGGTACAAACAATGTGAATGAACCCTCAAAGGTACAACAGTGGTTTTAAGATTCAATTGTGTACCTTAAATGATTTTTTCTCAGGGAAACGTACGTATTCATGCCTTTTTATGAACTAATGTTTCAAAACAAAACAGTAAAATAAAACGACTGGAGTCAAGAAATGATGTGTGGAGTCAATATAACTTAAAAAAATATAAGTGCAATGAAATATAGTTGCTATGTTCCCAATCTAAATGTACTGAAGACCCACCCTTGAGCGTACCACTCCAGTGACAGTCTAGAACCTTTTTTCTGAGAGTGTGTAGGTTCGTTGAGGAGATTATTTTATGGCATGCAAGTCGTCACGTCTGAAATGTTGAAGTAATCTGCCTCTGAAATGGAGGTTAATAACAAAAAGCAAAGCTAAAATCTATTAAACAAATAGCTGTCCGTTGTTACAGTAGGTAAGTCAATATGTTGGTGCCTGGAATAAGAAACTACAGTATGACAGTATACAGTATGTGGCTTACTGTGTAGTAATAATAATGCAGTATGTAATCATTCACCAAGAGCATAACCTTTAAAAAGTTATGAAAAGAACCATGACAGCTCAAAGAACTATGTGAGTGCTGAAATGTTTTTTTGCATTGTTCAATGGTTCTTCTCCATGATAGACAACCTGTAATGTGTATTTTACATAGCAACAAAAAGGATTATTATTATGTAGTCAAAGAACATTTCTTTAGTACTACAAAACACAGAAGTGCAGAAGGAGTGCAGAAAGTAGGTGGTTTTACACCTGTTCAGGTTTGAGTGTTGATGTATTTGTCGCCCATTGTATAGAAATGCACACAAAGGCAGTTACTCATCAGCTAGACTTTTTTGGTAAGGTTCGGGTAAAATGGTATAATTGGACTAGTTTGTAATAATTCTGAGAGGTGACGCAGGCATAATGTGCAATAACGAGGAAATCCGAGACTTGAATAATGTGATAGAACCTGGATCAGTTCAAGCCCTATCCATTATCGCCCTGTCTCCACCGCGCAGAGCCGGGGACGGGCTTAATGGCAGCCCAGGAATACATTAGCACATGTTCCTCTCGGATCAACACAGGGAGCGCGCGCTGGAGGACGTCAAAGCGAGCGAGAATATTCAAGAAGATGAGGAGCGCTGTCTGTCCGGCGGAATTTGAAGTGAACACTCCATATTTTCATCTCTCAGCGCGCCATCTTCGTCACGCTCTTGCGCCTCTCTCTCTCTCTCCCTCTCTCTCTCTCTCTCTCTCTCTCTCTCTCTCTCCATATCTCTCTCACTCTCCATTCCTCCTCATTCGTTCTTCCAAAGCGGTGTCAAGTAAAGTGCAGAAAGGTCAAGTCCTTCTGGCCGGTAGTCAGAATAACAGACTATTTGACATTTAATTGGATTTGTTTAAGCCAGGCTAACAACGCCGCTCTCGGGGTTTATACTGGGTTAAGCTGTCCTTTCTCATTAAGCAGCCGGAAAATGAACAACTCTTTCAATTTTCACTGAAAGCCTTTTATTACAAATAGTGGAACTACACTCCTACAGGCTACAATTGTTCTGTTTTAATTTGCCAGCAAATTAAACATTAGAGACAGTCAGAAATGCCTCTGAGTATGAAAAATGCGAGATATTGGCCTAATTATGCTGGTAATTGTATAATATCCTATATGTCTGTCTTTGCAGATAGGGATGTAACGATACACTAAGCTCACGGTTTGATTCATGATATTGAGTTCACGATTCAATTATCTCAGGATACTTAAGCTAATGTACATGCTAAAGTGAGTCATTGATTAATGAGGATTATTGGTGTTCAAGCAGTACAATTACATTCAATGCCATAATTTATATTGCTATTTATTGGCAAATTTTGCATTGTCATCTCACAATATTGTGATGCACTGCTGTACCCCAACCAGCAATATATTATGGTAATAACGCTTAATTTACTACCTGAAGTTTCTGTGTAAATAGTCTTCTTAGCATGTTTAACCAGAATCTAACCAATGAGCTGCTTTACTACACTCTTAAAAATGGTCCTTCAAGGGTTCTTCAGTAAAAGAAAAAGGCTCTATTTAGAAGCCTAAATCCTCAAAGACCTCTTTGCATGATAAAAGGTTTTTAGCATGGTGAAATGGTTCTTGATGGAGAATGTGTTATACATGGTTCTGTATAGAACCTTTTTGAAAAGAGCACCAAAAAGGGTTCTTCTATTGTTATGATGTCAAGCTTGTAACAATAGCATAATCCTTTTTGGCGCTATATAGAATCATTTTCAAAAATGTTCTACATAGAACTTTTTTTTTTTTTTGATAAAGAACCCTTGAGGAACATCTTTCCAAAGTTTGTAGGCAAGACAAAAGGTCTTCATTACATAAAATAGTACAAGAGGACTTTCTTTATTTTTAACAAGTAGAATTCCGTTTCTGTATACAACAACAGAAAAGTGTTTTGAAGACAAATCCTAAAAGGAAGTTGTAGATTCTTTACTCAGTTCTCAGGATGAATGAGGAGCGTTCTGATGGGAAGGTTATCTTGAACGCAAAGCCAAACCCTTAACATGACTGCTTGCTTTCAGGGAGGAGGCCTTTGATGTGCTCTCTGGTAGTAAAAGTTCACTAAGCACAGTGATGTAGTAGAGAGGCTTTTAAAGATATGGCCTTTTGGGGGGTGGAGGTGGGGAGGGGTGAACTAGTATAACATATCCACGTCCACGGCGTACTGGGAAGCACTGGCTGTGTAATAATAATAATAATAATAATAATAGTAATAATAATAATAATAATCTATGGATTGTATTTAAAGCACTTGTAACATTAATGATGAATATAAAAACCCATAAGCATGTAATTAATTAATATAATGACGTACATGATTAACTACGTGTATGTAGGGTAGACCGAAATTATGAACTAAAACCCAAAGCTGAGAATGATTGCGTCAGGACATGCGGAAGCACAATTTCTAGAGCCTTAAAAACATTTTGGTAATATCATTAGATCACTAGATGAAATAAACCCGATGTTTTTCAGTTGTTTATTTATTCAGGTTTCTGGTGCGGACAGTGGTCATCCTGTTTTCGCTCTGTGGGAAATTCGGTATTCTAAAAACACTGACACAACCAACATCACTGTTTCTTAAACGCAGCACAGGGCTGGGACACGCATGGAAGTGGTTAATGACGTCAGAGGCTCGGTGTGTGTGGCCGTGGTGACACTGCGGCGTTTGGATACTCAAAGCTGTGCTAGTGCGCCCTCACCTGTCTGAAGAAAGAACAACACAGGAAGTATTTTATACGGACACACACACACACACACACACACACACACAGACACACACACACACACACTCAGCTTTTGAGTAATACTTTATCTAGGATTACGGGAGAATCACTGTTAACGCTGAAAGTCATTCCGGCAGACTTTGCTGACATGCTGTCAAGGTCTATAGACTGATATTGCGATTATAAAGGCAAATCTTTACGAGCTCAAGAGGCTTTATGGCTTACGTCCAAATGAAATGTTTTCCTTGAAAGAGTTTTGAAAGATTGTACAACAATAAGAAGACCAACAACAACACCACCATCACCACCAGCAACAACATAACAACTACTACTACTACTACTAATAATAATAATAATAATAATGATAATAATAATAATAATAGTTTAAAAACATTTTTTTCAATGTTAGAAGTAAAGCTGCTGTGCAGGCACATTTTTCATTCATCAAGGTACAAACAATGTAAATGATCCCTTAAAGGTACAACCGTGGTTTTAAGGTACAATTGTGTACCTTAAATAGGTTTTTTAAATAATTTATTTTTTTGGGTAAAAAGTATATATTTGTACCTTTTCATAACCCAATGTTTTCAAACAGAACAATAAAATAAAAGTCCTGGAGATGAGACAGGGTGTGTGGAGTCAATACAACTCAGAACATATAATTTCAATAAATTATGGTATAATTATGTTCCCCGACTAAAGGTACTGAGATGCACCCTTGAGGGTACCACCCCAGTGACAAGAGGGGTACTGTCCCAGTGCCAGTTTTGATCCTATTTTTCTGAGAATGTATCCATATTGTGTGTTTATTTTGGACTTTGTGCCAAGTTGTTCACTATTGTGCATGACTGTATTGGAGTTGGTATTAAACTACATTGCACTGCACTCTATGTCTTTCTGACCTGTACTCCACTATATACTTCTATACAGTTGGGATGACAATGAAGTTGTTCTTGATTTTCACAAATAGGACTTCATTACTTATTGGCAAGACGTTTAATCAGCCCTTTAGTCCTATACACTAATGTGTAGTGTAAATTAGTTTTTAGATTATGTCAGTTTATCATATGCTAGCAAAGCCTCAATTTCATTGTTTACTACATCTATCAACATAAGCTTTAATTCGAGCTTAAAATGATCAGTCTATGCCTTTGGATCTGGCCTGCCTGACTTTTCAAACATACCTTCTCATGATAAATGTAGCACCCCATATGTCAGCCTACAGTCCAGATTAATAGAATGCTACAACATGCTCCAGGGTTAGTCTTTAGAGCTGCCTATTTCATAAAGCTAGCTCTACTTTCCTGAGCCCTCACATCTTGTGTACATTCCTAAAGCAGCAATAAACTTCTGGGCGTTCCTTTGAGACGTCCTTGAACTTTGAACCTTAAGACGTTTGTCATTCTAGAGGAGAGCAAATGGTCTACAGCTAAAGCTCCAGTCAGGCCTCCCCAGGACTAGCTCTGAGTTTACTTTACCAACTGATCCCACATAAACTCAGGCCATTCATTGTACGCTTTCTTGTAACATGAATGTTGTTTGAAAGCCGCTTTCGTTCGTCTTTGATTTTTTCCTCTAAACAAATCTTTCTACGTTCACTGTCTTGGCGGGATTTTGGCCTCTGGATCAACTGAACAACCTGAAATGAGCTTTGAAGCCCGAGAGAGGCCTTATTTGTCGAACTCAGTATATTAGTGTTTTGTGCAGCGAGGTTGGTTTTAGAAAGCGGAGTAAAAATCATACAATCACATACACTGAACTGCTGTCAGGAAATAACCTCTAAAAAGTGCTTCCTTGAAAATTAATATTCTCATTAGAAAGTTTATATATGTCCGATTGCTTCCTCTTTCGAAGATGTATTTTGCTTGGCGTTTTATTTCTATCTGAAAAAAGCATGTCTAGCAGAAATGTAGACTAGGTTTGTGTTCTAAAAATATCTTGCCGAAACCTT